AGTGTCCTGCGGGCGGGAAGGTCCCGGCCGCCCCCGCTGCTCCGGACGGCGATCACCCGCCCCCCTCCCGGGCATCGCCAGGGCCGCGAGGGTGTCCACACCCTGAGAGGCGGCCTCCTCTTCTGGCGCCGGGATCCCCGCGCATGCCGCCATCCGGGGCTGTTGGCGGAGGGAGAGGTGCGCCTGGATGTTTTCGGCCACCGCAAACGACGTGATCTGGCGATCGCTATTTATGGACAAAGCGATCCCCAGCTCATGTGCCAGGTCGGAAGCGTAGCCTTATCGGCCGGGGGAATGGACTTGAAGACCTGCATCGCCTTCTCGTCCAGGTAGGTCGGAAGGGCCCCCAACGCCTCCTCCATGGACCAGCCGACCGACATATACGCCGCGTCGAACCGGTCCTGGAAGGCCAACCAGTCGCCCACTTTCGTGACAAACGGTGCGATGTGGGGTAACCGGCCCAGCCCCTGGCCGCGCGGTGCGGCGAGGTATGGAAGCCCCCCGACTCCCGCGGGCTACCCTGCAACCACGGCGTGGTGCGGCAGAGTTGCGGCCCCCATAGGCCACGCCGAAGACGTGGTGGGTGGCGGCAGAGTTGCGGCCCCCGTAGGCCACGCCGGAGACGCGGCGGTATAACACGGCCCCGCGGTGGCCCCTGCGGGCCACCCCGCAGGCGCGGCGACGGATCGATCTGCAGCCGCAGCCGCGGCAACCTCCCGCGATGCGGCGAGGGGCGGCGGCGTTGCGGCCTCCCCAGGCCACGCCGTAGACGCAACGAGGTGTGGAGGCGCCACAGCATCCGCGACCCACCTGTCCGCAGCGCCGTACGGAGCCGCGGTGCCGGCGTGCGTGCCTGCGGCGGCCTCCGCAGCCGCGGCAACCTCCCGCGACGCGGCATGGTGCGGCAGCGTTGCAGCCCCCGTGGGCCACGCCGGAGACTCAGCGGCGGGATGCGGAGGCGCACCAGCGCCCGTGACCAACCTCGAAGGCGCGACGAGGTGCGGGCCCGCGGCATCGCCAACGGCCAGCCCCGCGGCCCCGCCCGCGTGCTGAGCCGCGGCAGCCCCCGCGGCAACTCCCACAGACGCGACGAGGGCCGGCGGCGTTGCGGCCTCCGTGGGCCACGTCGCAGACGCGGCGGGATGAGGAGCCGCAGCAGCGCCCGCGAGCCACCTCGCAATTGCGGCGGAATCCGCGGCAGCATCCGCGGCCAAGCTCGCAGCCACGGCGAGGCGCGGAGCCGCGGCGGAATCCGCAGCCGCATCCGCGGCAGCCATGGCCGTAACAATGGCTGCCGCTTCCGGCTTCGCAGCGGAAATGACGTCCGCTTGCGGCTCCCCCACCAACATGGCCGCCACCTCCGGCGGCGCATGAAAAATGGCGCCGACTTCCAAATTGGCGGCCGGAAAAACGGCGGGAATCCATTCGGTGGAACGCGGAGTGTGGGCCGGGTGGGTGCGTCCGCGCTCCCACCTCTGTAAGGGCGGCGGTGAGCTGCTCGATCGCCTGCAGGAGCAGCTGCGACCGCTTCTCGGCATCGCCCCCCGCCACCGGCGGTGGTGCGCTGGGACCCCCAGCCGCCGACACCACCTGCCCCGCCGAGTCCATCTCCACGGCACCCCCGGGTCGCAGCCGGAGCCTCCCCGACGTCGTCAGCACTCTCCCGGCGTCCCGCCGGTGGATTCTTACGCCGCCCGCCCGATTTAGGCATAGCGACGGCAGGGTAACCACTCCTGACACCAGTTGTAAAGGTAAGGGCTTCCGCCAAGGTTTTATTACAAATCTTTAACAATACACAGGGGTGAACAACTCCCCAGGGGTTAGGGGTCCCAGGCTAGGTCCCGACACAGCCGGCTGCCCTGTGCTGTCTCCTCTGCCCCGGCCGTGGGATCAACCAACACGGCCGACCGAGGAGCACAGCCACGTCTAGCCTGGCACTGTGCTCTCTCCTATCCCTACCCTCTTGCCCCTGGCTCCCCGTTCCACCCTTCTCAGACCCTACTCTCCAGCTACGACCCCGCTTACGTCACGGGGTCCCCCCTTTATCCTTGAGGAGACGTGACGTCACTCTGCTGCCCCGAGCGCCTGACGTCACGTCATCGCCCTGGACAGCACAAGTGACGCCACTTCCCCATTCTACTCCTCTACACATTATAATTACGGCCTTGAAATAGACACCATTTGTTGTTGTTGTTTGCCCATATTGAAACGTCTGTACGCCGCGTGGACCTGAAGACTCAATTCCCCTGCACGAGAAGAATTCGGGGTTCAACTCGTGCGGGTTGACGGGCATGGACTGATGACGAGCGTGAAGGAAAATTCAAGCGCCGAGTGGCATCGAATCTCACCGCCTGTCATCTCCTCCTCAATGTGGCTGACACGACTGGCACCTGCAATGGCCCGGAATAAGCGTGAGCCGTGATGTTCGGGATAGAACTTCGCGTGCCTCGGCTCCCTGCGTGGATACCAAGGGCAAAGAGTTGTGCCATCGAACAGAATCCGGATGTGTTTTTTTTTAAATATATACACACTGGAGGAATCCGATGAGCTATGAAGCTCTTTTTCACAGATGCCCAGCAGATAAAAGTCAGTCAGTCCGGTAGTTTACAGTCAGTCACGTGCTTTACATACGTGTCATTTGGGAACTAGCGTCATGACGCAATCCTCGCCCAAGGTTGGCAATGATAATTTTGTATAGTTTGTACAGTGTGTTTAACTTTCTTTCACACCGTACGTCGCCAACCGCGCTAATCGGAGGTGCGCTTTGGCAGCCGTGTGGTAGTTCTGTGGTAACCATGTGGTAATCGTGTGGTAGTTCTGTATTAGCCCTGTGGTAGTTCTATGGTAGTTCTGTGGTAGTTCTGTGATAGTCGTGTGGTAGTTCTGTGGTAGTTCTGTGGTAGTTCTGTGGTAGTCGTGTGGTATATCTGTGGTAGTTCTGTGGTAGTTCTGTGGTAGTTCTATGGTAGTTCTGTGGTAGTTCTGTGGTAGTCATGTGGTATATCTGTGGTAGTTCTGTGGTAGTTCTGTGGTAGTCGTGTGGTAGCCGTGTGGTAGTTCTGTGGTAGCCGTGTGGTAGTTCTGTGGTAGTTCTATGGTAGTTCTGTGGTAGTTCTGTGGTAACCATGTGGTATATCTGTGATAGTCGTGTGGTAGTTCTGTAGTAGCCGTGTGGTAGTTCTGTGGTAGCCGTGTGGTAGTTCTGTGGTAGTTCTGTGGTAGTTCTTACCTTCTCTGCCTATTTAAGGCGACTTCACTGTGTGCTTGTCTCTGTGCTGGCTCGCTCTACTTGGATGTCTGTGTGTGTGTGCGGTCTGAATTTTGAGTTTCATACTTCACTTGCAATTTAGCAATCTTTGAAATAGCGTGATCAACCGGACTATGCGTTAATTGTGTTTTGACCGACCGTCTGTGTTGCTTTATATGGTTTCCAAAATGTTGCTAAACCCTGTTTGTCTGGTATGCTTCTCTCTCTGTGTCCCCTGTTGTATCTGGGCTAGTTCCCCCTACTTGGGTGTCTGTATATACATCTGGGGTTATGTGTTTCCCCTCTCTCATAAATTTAGCTCTTCTGTACCTGATGATGGCTGATTGTGTTGCAACCGAAACGTCGTACGTTAATATGTTATTTAATTATTTCTTATTTATACGTGACTTTACCGAAAAAAACAAAGAGCAACAACACACTTTTAATCTTGATTTGAAGCTTTCGTGACTGCAGGAATCCATACTCTTTGGTTCTTTCGGTAAAGTCATGTAGGCAGAAAAGAATAACACTCTTTTAATGTCACCTGTCGTTGCTGTCCACCAGACATGTGTCCAAGACGAGGCACGGTCCCTCAATGGCAGCGGCAGAGCCAGCGCGGGCCACCGATGTCTGCCGACGAAGGGACGGCAAATCGAGGGCCCGCGTTTTAGCGCAACGAGCATGAAGCTTGCCAGTCGGACATCATCAGCCGCACGCGAGGCAACAGTTACGTTTATTGTATTTATTCAAAGATTTCACGTGGAAAATCAAATGGCGAATGGAACGTCTCTTCGTTTGCAAGGGGTGCCCAGGCTTTCAAGGCTCGTGATTTGGTGAAAGCTCATATCTCTGTCTGACCCGTACAGGTGCACCAAGCATGATTGTAACATATAAGAATAGGGTTTTACCCTTTCTGTTAATAAAACAGTTGTGTTGAGATGTTGAAACACTAAACAGAAACCTTTTTTCAAGGAATCATGTCTGCATTAAGCACACATGTTTGTGGTGAACATGTAAGCTAACAAAAAAACATGCTCTGATAGTTTATGCATTGTCGATGCATTGTCTTTGAAACTGATTGGTCCACACCAGAGACAGCCTTCTATTCATGTCCACCACAAGTACCACGTGTGGTTGATGCAGACATGATTCCTTGCAATAGGTTCCTGTTTAGTGTTTAAACGTTTGAACACAAACTGTTTTATTGCCAGAAATGGTAAAACCTATTCTTGTATGTTGATGCTGGCAAGTGAGGTCCCATGATGATTATAACAATAATACGTATTGTCGGTTAGCCCAATGTAACTTTGAATCGTAATTTAATTTTGGACAAATTTTTGTCGTTAAAACCCTCCAACACCTGACACCACCCACTAACTGAAAAATCAATTATGAATCACATTTGGCTGCAAACACCGACGTGTTAAATCAAATGCGACTTTTGTTAATTTAATCTTAATTTAAAAAAATAAAGTCTTGTTCTGAGTGGTGTGTGAGTGTTATTGAGCATTTGTGTTCACCAGTTGATAACTTTAAACACGATATTGGATTGACCCCAGTTTGAACGCGGGCAAAATGTGAGTGATTAGTGGCTACATCTGATGTGGAAATCTAAAATGATATAATTTACTCATCTCCATTACAAATACTCTAGTCACTTCCTAAATATCAAAGCAGATGAAAATATTAAGGCATTTATACACATACCAAAATTGTATGTCACGCTGCTACACAGATGCCCACTGGAATGTTAATTCCGATGTTGGTTTACGTATTATGATTCATACTGCGGTCTGTTATTTCACAACGGTCAAGACTCAAACGTCTGGGGTCGTTGTTTCACACGACTCGTCGCGTCTCTCTCGAACGCCAGGCAGACACGGCGGCTACGATTCACCGCGCAACCAAATGCCAGCCGGTAACTGGGAGTCGGAGAGTTATAAAACGAAAACGACGTTTCTTTATCAGGCACGAATGCTTCATCACGTGACCCATTAAGAGGATATGAGCAACTGTAATCAATGCGATTTCCTTCCACTGACGCAACAGCCTCCGGAGTCTATCGCACCAGTGCTCGCCGATGATTATTGCTCCGCAGATCGTGACGGTAGCGTACAAATGAGAGCTGAATAATAATGATGATGATGATACATCGACGGTGCAACACTGTGGCATACTCGACTGTACGTTTCAGATCGTGGTCGTTAAAAGCGTACACGGGCAAGCACTTTATTTGGTGATACTGCTGCTACGTTTCGAGTGGTGCACAATCAATAAGATGCTGTACAACATGCGTCAACAACGCTGCTTCACATACCTGCCAACCCATATGGTTTACCCCGTATTCTTGTACTGGGAAATTTGAGTTTTCAGGTCCATACGGCGTACAGCCGTTTCAATACGGGCAACATTTTTGTTTTGTGTTTCTCCCTCGTGTTGCGACTTTGTAGGATGAACGTTGAGATTGATAAGGGGCACGGAGTGACCAATAAGGTCTGAATTGGCCTGTAATAAGGTAGGCACTGCTAAGGGGTTGACAGGTATGACTTTACAAGAATGTATAATTATACATTAGTAGTATAATTATAGATTTAAACAATCAGCGACGTTTGTAATCGGCGACGTTTAGGGCAATGCGCTATGAAGTTGGGCCATTGCCCAAAACGTCGCCGATTATATATTTTTCCTTTAAGGCCACAGTGCTGTTGACGAGCGTGTTGAGTTTTTTTTTCTACAGATAAACACTGGTTACGTAATTTTTCACAATACATGATCTCTCTGTCATTCGGGGTGATAGGGGGTGGGGGGTGGTGGTGGCCCAGATGAAGCGAAACACGAATAATGCAAAACGGTAGGTTAATCAGACTCCACTAAACACAGATATTGTTTATACCCAAGCAGAACGGGAGGGGGGGGAGAGGGTGGCATGGATACTTCGAATGCCCTGCGTGTTTCTATTGCGACAAATTGGTCAGCTTCATTCTGCTCACGCGGGCACCGAGTCACGTGCCTGTGAAGAGCGGCTCCGTCATGGAGCCAGCAATGCACTCACGGACAGCTCAAAGAGTTGACCGGAGTAGCTTTTTTAACGCTGCATCGCTCGCTACGCTGTGGTGTACGGTTCATGGTGTTGAATCGTGCATGTGCGATCAGCTCGTAAATACGATCCCCGCAACGTTGCTGGGTGAGCTTTTGAGGAACGTTTGACTTCTCCCCGAGACAAAAAACAGCCCCTGCGCTATCTGTTACAATGCTGCACGCCTCTCCGCGGAATGTCAACCCATACCGCATAGGGAGAAGGATCGATAACAGTCCGATAGCCGACAGGCCGCGGCGTACTTCGCTCCGCAGCGTTGGTGCGTCGCCAGCGGCGGTCATCGCCGAGGGGGTCGGGAAGGTCACGACGCCGAGAAGCGCTCGGGAGTTAATTCGCGTGCGCCCTGAGCTCGCGCGCGTCGGCGACGGCTGCGTTGTCTTCGTGCGGCGCGGGGTCGGGCGCGGGGTCGCCGAGTCTGTCGCGGGCGCGGCTCGCAGGGCGGGGCTCCGTCGTGCTCTCCCGCAGGTACTGCTGCACCGCGCGGCTGATGGCCGTCTCGACGACGCGCCGGCTCACGCTCGCCAGCGTCGTGTCCTCTGCGGATTTCTGGGATTGCCATCCACCTGCCGTTCACAGTGGCGACGGCGACGGTGATCAGTTCAACACGTGGCAGGCCTGTCGCGGACAATATTATTCACAATGAAGGGGGTTGTTTTTTTGGGGGGGGGAGGGGTTTGATCGTGTAAATATAAATGTGTCGTTAACTCACCACCACCCGACACGGCCAATTAGTCAGATTTGTCGCGTTAACAAAACATGCCAATTCGTTGCTACTTCAGCCCCCCGGTGTGTTGGAGTAAATCCACAAGATAATCGCGTGATGAAGCGGGATGTAATTACCATTGAAACGTCACGGCACTCAGATTGTAAATGTCGTGGTGGGTTTACTCTCCAACACGCAACCGGTGAGCTGAACGAGTAACTCATTGACACGTTTTGTTTACGTACCAAACCTTACTAATTGGCTGTGTTGGGTGGTGGTGGGTTAACGACACATTTGTATTTTACACAATCGAACCCCCGAAAAAAACCTCGATTATGAATGATGACGACGATGAACCACAGAGGCCATCTGCTCACGGTGACACTTAACAGAACAAACAATTCGCGTCGTTGTGGAGAATGTAGGGAGCCGAACGAATGAGCAGACAATATTGCCTCCTTCCCGCATCTGTCCCTTGACATCGGATAAAATAAACATTTATTTTACTGAAAATACTGAGTTAAATCGCTCGCAAAAAGCCCGTGCAACTAAATGGGAAGTGAAAACTAAAATCTTTACGTGTGGAGAGACAGATCCGTACTACTTCCATAACCCCACAAGCTTTACGCTTTAAACTGACGCCATGTCACATATATGAACTCACTTGGACATTTCCCATGCCCAGTATGTAATTTAAATAAGTCAGTGGATGAGAGATTTGCAATGTATGCTGTGTTTCTCGCACATCAGTAACAAATACGCTCCCTGTTTTGCAGGCACACGGTATGAGCGTTTCAACGTGACGCATCAATAACACGCAGTGTTGTGTTCTACCCTTTGGCGTGTAATTTGTTGTGAAACTCGCATTGAACAGCTGTTTACCTCCGTCGGGAATTCAACCTTGGTCCCTTCCTGCACACATCTCTCGCGTTACCAGTGATGCTACACGCGCATACATTTGACACAAAGACCCCCCCCCCCCCCCCCTTATAGCCTAAACAGACTGTTGGGGCTGGTGCTGCTAGCGAGCACCTATGAAGGCCGGCACAGCACACGATGGGGTGGGTGGCCAGCACCACGCCGAGCCGCCTTTACACACACCGCACCAGGGACTAATTTACTGCCGAGCCGACCTAGGCGAGGCCCAGGACCGATGTTCCCCATGAGCGGGAATCGACCTTGTAGAACTCCTAGCGCAGTGCGCTCACTGCTACCCTACCACTTCTACATTTGGCATACACACACGCGTCTTTCACACTCGTGTAATAATGCACATGCATATATGCCACACGCGTGATTGGCACACACATACACGGTATACACCAGACACACACACACTTAGCACATGCCAGACACACGTGCCATGGTACATGCAATCCACCCCCCACCCACCCCCCAAATCAGGATTTGCGACGGATTCAGCACAATTATAGCTAATTTGAAACCCTATTTTTATTCATTGGCCTTTCCTGTAGTCTGATTAGGTTTAAACCTCAATGTGTAGTTTTATTATTGTCTTTTATCATAGCTGTTCATGTTATGTGTATTGCGAGTGTCGTTATCATTGTCATTATGATCAGAATTTATTGCCTTTCCTTTGGAATGTATTCATACTTGGAAGTTTTTGTTTATTATTGTAAAGCGTATTGAGATTTCGTCATGAAAGGCGCTACATAAAATATCGATAATTATTATCATTCTTAGCTCGCCCGACTCGGGTGCTTGAGCAGCAAAGTCAAAGTGATGGTAAATTCCACGTTGCTATGGCGAGGGCCACTGTTGGCTTTCCCTAACCCCGTTCCGAGCCCACGCTCGATGCCCTCATTTCTGGCTGTCAGAATTCTCTCGCTCACTCCTCCAGGAAAGCCTCGTAGAGCCTCAAGACATCAGAGTCATAATCTGTATTTCTACTGCAGAAGAGGAATCCGATGAGCTATAAAGCTCTTTTTCGCAGATGTCCAGTCGGGGCACGGGGTCAGAACGTTACAACAACAAACAGGAAAACACGGTAGGAGTGCAAAATATTGGAAAAGTAAACACATCACTTACAAATATACAAAAATAAACTAGTTTTATATTACAAGGTAAAGCCCACTGAGGTATTTACAGCTTTGTCAGAAGCGACCTGGCCACAAATAATAGCTCAACAAAGTGGCATATCACGTGGAAATTTATAGCAGCTAAATAATCTCAATGCGTGTTTCTAAATATGGAGAGAAAAATATCAAGCGACCACGGGGAGAACATGCAAACTCCAAGTATACAGGCATCAGGGTCGGGATCGAACCCACGACCTCCATCACACCAGGCGAGGTAGTTAACATCTCGACACCAAAACACCTCGGCACTGCCTAATGCTGTGCTTGACTGGAATCATCGCTGGGGTTACAGTGAGAGAAAAACGTATTTGATCCCCTGCTGATTTTGGACGTTTGCCCACTGACGAAGAAATTATCAGTCTATAATTTTAATGGTAGGTTTATTTGAACAGTGAGAGACAGAATAACAACAACAAAATCCAGAAAAACGCATGTCAAAAATGTTATAAATTGATTTGCATTTTAATGAGGGAAATAAGTATTTGACCCCCTCTCAATCAGAAAGATTTCTGGCTCCCAGGTGTCTTTTATACAGGTAACGAGCTGAGATTGGGAGCACACTCTAAAAGGGAGTGCTCCTAATCTCAGCTTGTTACCTGTATAAAATACACCTGTCCACAGAAGCAATCAATCAATCAGATTCCAAACTCTCCACCATGGCCAAGACCAAAGAGTTCTCAAAGGATGTCAGGGACAAGATTGTAGACCTACACAAGGCTGGAATGGGCTACAAGACCATTGCCAAGCAGCTTGGTGAGAAGGTGACAACAGTTGGTGCGATTATTCGCAAATGGAAGAAACACAAAAGAACTGTCAATCTCCCTCGGCCTGGGGCTCCATGCAAAATCTCACCTCGTGGAGTTGCAATGATTATGAGAACGGTGAGGAATCAGCCCAGAACTACACGGGAGGATCTTGTCAATGATCTCAAGGCAGCTGGGACCATAGTCACCAAGAAAACAATTGGTAACACACTACGCCGTGAAGGACTGAAATCCTGCAGCGCCTGCAAGGTCCCCCTGCTCAAGAAAGCACATATACATGCCCGTCTGAAGTTTGCCAATGAACATCTGAATGATTCAGATGACAACTGGGTGAAAGTGGTGTGGTCAGATGAGACCAAAATGGAGCTCTTTGGCATCAACTCAACTTGCCGTGTTTGGAGGAGGAGGAATGCTGCCTATGACCCCAAGAATACCATCCCCACCGTCAAACATGGAGGTCGAAACATTATGCTTTGGGGGTGTTTTTCTGATAAGGGGACAGGACAACTTCACCGCATCAAAGGTACGATGGACGGGGCCATGTACCGTCAAATCTTGGGTGAGAACCTCCTTCCCTCAGCCAGGGCATTGAAAATGGGTCGTGGATGGGTATTCCAGCATGACAATAACCCAAAACACACCGCCAAGGCAACAAAGGAGTGGCTCAAGAAGAAGCACATTAAGGTCCTCGAGTGGCCTAGCCAGTCTCCAGACCTTGATCCCATAGAAAATCTGTGGAGGGAGCTGAAGGTTCGAGTTGCCAAACGTCAGCCTCGAAACCTTAATGACTTGGAGAAGATCTGCAAAGAGGAGTGGGACAAAATCCCTCCTGAGATGTGTGCAAAGCTGGTGGCCAACTACAAGAAACGTCTGACCTCTGTGATTGCCAACAAGGGTTTTGCCACCAAGTACTAAGTCATGTTTTGCAGAGGGGTCAAATACTTATTTCCCTCATTAAAATGCAAATCAATTTATAACATTTTTGACATGCGTTTTTCTGGATTTTGTTGTTGTTATTCTGTCTCTCACTGTTCAAATAAACCTACCATTAAAATGATAGTCTGATCATTTCTTTGTCAGTTGGGCAAACGTACAAAATCAGCAGGGGATCAAATACTTTTTTTCCCTCACTGTATGCGAACACAACGTGTGAACGTGCACCCTGAATTGAGATGCTGGGCCAGTTCGTTTTTGGCGAGCATTTTGTTTCTAAATCCGTCGTGAAAATTTTACAACCCCCGTGGTGCCGTTCGTGATGAGTGTTTTTGCATATTGGCAAGTGTTACCGAGCGCTGATGAGTGCTGATGAGTAAGCATTGCATGTATTGTCAGGTGCAGCAAAAAGTCCTTTGTTATTCCGTTATCATGTTGCATGCATTATATTCCTTGTTTAATTACAATTTGTTGGACTCACTCCGATGTGAATATTACGTTCATAATGAAAGTCACATTGGGCAATATTTGCTTATAAACCCTCTCATAGATCCATCGTGTGTTTACAACCTTGAATTATACGGATTTTATTTATGGTCATGAATTTGTTATTAATGGTAAAGCACACCACGTGGTCAATCCACTGCTGGATGAACGCCTCCCCATGCCGTGTTGGTCATGGGGATTGTTTGACCAGACTTCCCCCACGCTGGTCAGCGCACGTTTGTCCAGGTCGATGCCTAGGACCAGTTCAGCTGTCACCTGCCACTCGTTTACGCCACGGCCACGAATCCAACTCAGGTGATGGGGTCTATTCAAGCGTGGTGCACTAACAGCCGCACCGCCGTTCCCACGCATTATTCATTGCTGACATTCCAATTAAATAGTTTTCTTAATTAATGACTGAACTCTTATTTGGAACGCAGGAATGTAAACGTGCAAGAGAGGATTCCTTTACATTTCAGCTGTCGTTGGACATGTCATTAAAATAACGAGGGGCCATGGAAGTGCCAAATTACAAGGTCGGGGCACCGCGTGCCACTTGCTGCGCGCGCCTGGCTGTG